CTGGTTCCCTGTTTACAATCTTGTAGGCTTATTTACTTTGGATAATTCCATAGCTGGGTTGGTTTCTGGGTTATATCATCACGTGTGTTAATGGTCAGTTGTTGTTGGCTGTTGTTGCTTCTCTGTCCAAAAGACTCCCTTTAGCATCTCTTGTAAGGTTGGTCTGGTTTTAACAAATTTCCTTATTTTCAGCTTATCTGGATATGTTCTACCTTCACCATCATATTTGAGGGACAATTTTGCCGGGTATATAATTCTTGGTTGGAAATTTTTCTCTCTCAGGGTTTTATATATGTACCATCCTATTGTCTTCTCACCTGCATGGTTTCTCTCGAGAAATCCGAGCTTAGTCTTATTCACTGCCCCTTATAGGTAACTTTTCGTTTTTCCCGTGCTGCTCTCAAGATTATTTGTCTTTGGTTTTGGTGAGTTTGATGATTATATGTCTTGGTGATTTTCTTTTGGGGTCTATCCTGTTTGGGGTTCGTTGGACTTCCTGAATAAATATATTCTCATCTTTCATCATATCAGGGAAGTTCTCTTCCAACAAATCTTGGACAATTTTCTCAGTGGTTTCATTTTTCTCTTCCTGTTCAGAATTCCAATGACACGTAGGTTATTCCTTTTGATGGTATTCCACATAAACTTTAGGCTTTCTTCATTTTGTTTTGATTTTTTTTCTGAATGATCCCTTTCCAAAGAAGCATGCAGGTATTTATCTTCAATCTCATTAATTCTGTTTTCCATTGCATCAGTTCTACTCCTTTGCCCTTTCAATGCATTATCTATTTCTGCCAATTTAGTATTAATCTTCTGGATTTCTATCTTTAGATTTTGAATCACTTCTAATTTTTCATTTATTTTGTAATTTTGTTCTTCTATTTTCTTCTGAAATTCTTCTAGGGTTTTGCCTGTGTTTTCTTTGATCTCTCTCTCAATCCTTTGAAGATACCTAAATATAATTCTTTTGAATTCCTTATCAAGGAGTTCCAATGCTGTGTCTTCCTCAGGGATGTGTTTTGGGTCTGTATAATGGTCCCTTATTTCTACCACTTTATCTTGCTTCTTTGTGTGGACTGTGATGGTCTGTTGTCTCCGAGGCATTGTGACGTTTTTGTGTTTATATTTAATTGGTGATTGTATGTTGGAGTGACTTGCCCACGATTTTCGTTTTGTTTTGTCTGTATGTTATCTACGCAAGCACTGTGCTGTGCTCCTCTATTCACTAGTTGACAGGACTTATACACTCACCACCTGTCTCCTTTCCTGTTGTTGCCTCTTGTATGTCCCTGCCAACCTTGGCAAACAGAGCCTATTCTTAGGTACCTGGAATCCAAATGAGAATGCTATCACTTTAAAATCCAAAATGGTTGGAGTGGCTTTTCTTGATAACCTCAAGGTCTTGGGCAGCTAGTTGAAAGAGTCGAAGTGGCCATGTTAACAAGTATTTAGTCCCCTTTCATTGTCAGAGTACTCAATAAGCAAGGTAAGCACTGGCTTACTTGTGCTTACTTACTTATCTGCAGTGAATAGTTTTACATTTTTTCACCACAGCAAAGATTCTGCTCCTAGGTATGGCTGGCATCTGTCTCTCTCCCAACCTCACAGCACCTTCCTACAGAAGGAGTTTCTTTTCAAACTGACAATTCCTGACAGGGATGGAGTACTGGGTAAGCATGGGCTTATGTGTGCTTTCTTTCTAATCTGTAGTGAACAATTTCACATGGGTTTCACCATATCAAAGATTCTACTTCTAGGTATGGTTGGCAGCGGTCTCCTAACCGCACAACACCTTCCTACAGAATCGATGTCTCTTTTGCAATGTACAACACCTGACAAGCTTGCTGGGTACTCCGTCCCTGTCCCTTTTGGAATTCTGGGGTTTGAGGAAGCACAGAGAAAATGGACATGGTCAGAAAATTCAATTTAAGAGACTATGTAAATGACTATCTCTTCTTAACACAGAGCAGGTCAGGATATTAATGCAAAAACACCCAGGTCCTCAACATTTAGAAATTCAGCTACTTTTCTATACCTTGAGAAATTTAGTGCTTTCTTTTAAGTGAACTTTTTCAAAGGAAGGATGGAAAATATCAAATAATCTCAAATGGGCCATTAGCCAAGTCCTCAGGGAAAGTTTTAACTTACAAGGATAAAACACTTGCAAACAGAGAATGATAAAGTACAGAAAATAGAACCTTCTGCATAAGCAACTGTCTATACCAATGTCTAAATATAAGCCTCTGATACACTTTCTTACTTTTTAAGGCTTCTAGTACTTTTAGGAAATTCATGCAGTAACTTCTTCCGATATTCTATCAACAATTCATGCAATCGGTCTTCCTTTCTTTCACTATCTTCGATGGTTTTTGTGGTCAGTTCTAAGAGCTCAGTGCTGGTTTGGAAGAGGCGACAGGCATAGCATGTGGATTTGGCTGTTTCCATCTTGTCCCCCGTAAGCACCCAGACTTTCAGGCCTGCTGCATGCAGAGCTTCAATGGTTTCAGCAGCTTGATCTTGTAGCCTGAGAACACAAAGGAAACCTTGTTATCCTCTGTAACTCCTGACAGGAATTCTGCAAGAAGGATTGTTAAGAGAGTATTTTTATCATTCAAAGCCATTCTGGAATCCTGACATCTTATTCCAGTTGTTCTTGTACCTTTCATATGCCTTCTGAGAGTGTTGTCTTGGGCATCATTTCACTTATTATTGTGAATTTCAAACACTGAGGTTTGGAAATTTTTGTGACATCTCTGTTCCCACCACCACTGCATCAGTTCCAACAAGCTTCTGATCATGAAATGATTCTTCTTTTTTTAAAAAATACTTTATTGTGTTTTTGGAGAATATTTACATAGCAAATTAGACTTTCATTTAACAATTTCTATACGTATTATTCAGGAAATCTAGTGGCATATAGTGGTTAAAGCATTTGGCTGCTAACCATAAGGTTGGCAATTTGAACCCAATAGCAGCTCTGTGGGACAAAGATGAGGCAGTTAACTTCGGTAAAGATTTACAGCCTTGGAAACTATATGAAATTCACTGCTGCCAAGTCGATTCCAGCTCATAGCGACCCTCCTTGGATTTCTAAGACGGTATTCTGTACAGAAGCATATTGCCCAGAAACTATATGAGGCTGTTTTACTCTGTCTTACAGGGTCACTAAGAGTCAGAAATGACTCAGTGGCAGTGAATTTGGTTTTTGGTTGGTTAGACACATTATTCAGTGACACTGGTTACACTTTTCACTGTGTGAGCATTCTCCTTATTTCTATTCTGGTTGTTTTGTTTCCATTAATTTAGCTTTCTTATCACCTCCTTACCATCTCTTCTTCCATCTAGGGTAAATGTTGACCTTTAGGGCCTCATTTAGATGATTGCTTATAAATCACTCTGTCTTTTGGCTGATAGGTGGCCACTGGGAGTGATTTTGAGTTCCAAGCTTAAAGGGTATCCCATGGGAATAGTCTCTGAGGTTCCTCTAGAATCTACCAGTCCAGGAAGTCCGGCCTTTCTTAGGAATTTGAATTTTGTTCTACATTTTTCTCCCATTCTGTCCAGGACCTTCTACTGTGTCTTGTGACATCTCTTGAACTAACACTAACTGGTATCCTATAGTAGAATTAACAATCATCACTTTAAATTATAATGTTCAGAAACTCACCAAACATTCTCAGTCCCTATTCCTTTACCATATTTTATTGTATTTTCTCTCTCACCATGCAAATACCCAAAATGATTCAAACAGACAGGGCCAGATTCATTCTGAAACAGACACTGAGGGACGTTAGCGAATCCTAATCCCTCAGCAGCTTTAAGAATAGGAAAGCCAACCATCCTGAATGACACCTTAACCTATATTCTGAAAGGCAAGAGAGAAAAAGAATGGTACTTTCTTTGGGTTCCTTTTGACCACGGAGTAATAGTGAGATCAAACTAAATGAATTTCATTAAAATTTCAATACTTTCCAATGTGGTTGATTATATGCTTGTAACTTTTTATTTGTTTAACTGCTCTGGTCTATTAAACCAGGTTAGAATTCAGCTCTCATGTTCTTTCTTCCTTGAATTTTCTTTCTGCTCATCTCTGAAAATCTGAGATTTTACTCTTCTAGATACCAGCTTATACGCTGCCTCTAGCACAAAGCTCTCTGTACACAAGAAGACTATTTAATAAGGATTTGCATAAATGAATGAATGGCTTATAAAAATTCCAAAGACCCCAGTGAGGACTGATTTTCTTCTAAGTCATTTGTACTTAACTTAAAAATCATTGCCATAAACAGTTCAATATATGGCATAGTTTTTCATACTTGCTACAATAAATGAATTTTTAAGCCCATTTAGACAACAGAGTTAAATGAAAGATTTTAAAACCTGAGAATAAACTATTAATCTGGGGCAGACTGAACCGTAAATTACTGGTCATTGAAGTAACACGAGTATCATTTTCTACATACTTGTCTTCTACCGCAGTTGCTCCAATTAAATTCATGTTCGTCTCAATATCATCAAAAACCTTTTCCATTTTTTCTTCTCTGTCTTGTAAGGCCATTTTTGCCTCTATGAGCTGCCTGTC